CCCAAGAACTTATCGAGTGTGGTTTCAAGGAGTTCAACCAAGTTTTTGCTTTCCTTGAAAGAAAGGTAAATAACTTTATCCGTGTCATGTCTTTCATTGCATGATTTAAAATAAATGTTCTAACTATTTCCTCAAATTCCTTAATATGTAAGAATTTTCTCGTTCCATGCCATGGAATTGAGGAAGTAGTTGTAACATGTCCGGTTTGACAAGAAAAATATGTGCTTGCAAAGGTAAGAGTATACATGATGGAGTGGTGCTTCGTGTAGATTGGAGATAATTTCTCATTGACCTCGCTGGGGAATCAATGGATAGATTATTTCTTTCATTTTTTGGAAGAGGGAATTGCATTATAGGATTTTGTACTCGAGGGTTTTGCTTTTGCTTGTTCCTTGGATTGTTAGTACCATCATCCCCAAAATTATCCCCAATATCTTTGGGAGGGTCTTGGTTTATATTCATGTTTGGTCCTTCGTTACGTCTAACTAGTCTATTTTGGTTATCACGTCCCCACATGCAAATGTACTAACTACAAATAACTAAAAATGACTAACTACAATCGAAAATTATGCACCATTATATACAAAGGAACAATGTACCTCGGCCCGTGAAGAAAATCTCGAGACTTACCTCCGTTGATCCGAAACACCTTCAATTACTTAGTACTTGTGTCCTTCCAGACAACGGCACAAAAAATGCTTGATTTATTTGTCTTAGCTTGATTGGTGTGGGGTTTTGTTTGAGGGGTTATGATGGTATGTGAATGCCAAAGGTGGTGTGCTCTCAAGGTTGTGGTGATGCAAAAGTTGCTTCCCAAGCGCTGGGAGGCTTGCGTGTCGTGTCTTAACTTGGAAAAAGTTCCGAGGTCGTCTCTTCAGAAGGACAAGAATAAGTGTTTTGAAAGTGATTTTGAAAATAGAAATAAAAATTTATTCTTCGAAGATGTGGTTGAATCGTGAGATCCAGGGTTGAGAATCTATCAATAAAAAAGGGAGTTGGCTAGTCCTCAGAATTCTTTCCACCGGATATGGTTAATCAATCCCGCTTATAACTCAGTTAAACTAAAAAGTGTTTTGATTCAATCGGAAGATAGGAATTAAAAATCAGGAATTACCAAATGTGTGTATTGATGTTGAATTGATTCGTATAAGTTTGAAGGGATAATAAGTATGCCCCATGACAAGTCTAAGTGCATCAAATGTGTACAAATCTATACGTTGCAATCTACCTAGTCAAATTCAACACATTACACTATTAGACAATGTGTGTGAGGATAGATTTTTCCATACTCGGATGAAAATCCTTCTTTGGAATTCACCAACCAGTGTCCTAGCTGGCCATAGATACGATGGAAATGTTAAAGGACATGGAAAACATTGTAAATGAAGTAAATATTAACTTAAATTAATTAAAACAAGAGATGAACAAACTTAAAGCTTCTATCAAACACTAAGAGCATAGAACTGAAAACATACAATCTCTAAGAACATAGAACTTAAAACATACAAGCGCAAATATTGAAAATGGAATTTCCTTAGAACATTTGTTGTTGAAGAACTCTAACAAAATACATGCATACTAGGAAATGAAAGTTATATCTAGTGTAGAAAGGAAGATTACAAGCCTTAGAACTTACAAGGGTGAAAATAAGCAAGAAAAATGCAAAAATCTTAACTTTTTCTCTCTAAAATTACCTTCTTCTTCCTTGGAGCTCCCCCCTCTACAAGCTGATTGTAATGGTCAAATGTCATGTATATTTTCATCTATCCCTTTCTCTTTAGTCTTGAGCGTGTTGAGATAGCTTTCTTGGAGAGAGGTTGTCCAAAAAAGCTTTCAAAGTTAGTTAAAGTATGGCCTACTTCCTCTTGCCAACCATTCTCTTTCTCCTCATGGTCCTCCCACTCCTTCATGTTTATTGTCTGAATGCAGAGGTTAGGAGGTTATGATGAGTGTTGAAAAGGTCAAAACATGGATTAAATATCCAAAAGGGGGCCTCCTTCATTTCTTCAATTTCAAAAAGTTAAGGAACAGTATCAGGTACCGGTACCTGTCTTCCAGTAGGCTCAGGTATTGGTACCTAGTGATAAGGGCAAAGATCATAGTTATTAGTATCGTACGATACGTCATGACTCACAGAGAAAACAATATGAATCAGAGTTCAGTATCGTTTTTGGATAGTATCGTCCGATACACAATACGCTTCTTGTGATACGATACGTCTTGGTCGATACGCACGATACACGAAGTCTCTGATTTTTTTCATTGGAATCACGTCGTTTCAACCAAAATTTTAATTTTTTTATCCCTATGGCCACTGAAATGATGTAGTTATTAGTATCATACGATATGCAATACGTATCTTATGATACGTCATGATACACAGAGAAAACAATACGAATCGGAGTTCAGTATCGTTTTTGGATACTCGATACGCTTCTTATGATACGATACGTCTCGGTCGATAAGCACAATACGCGAAGTCTCTGATTTTTTTTATTGGAACCACGTCGTTTCAACCAAAATTTTAATTTTTTATCCCTATGGCCATTGAAATGACGCCATTTCAGTGGCTAGGGTTTACAAAAAAACATAAATGTCTTCTTTTCCCTTAGTTCTTCTTTGAAGAAGCCCAGTCCTTCTTCTCTCTTTTCTTCATTGACGAACCCAAAGAAGTAATCGAAGTTGTTGAAGGGAGAAGACCATCGACGAAGACCATCGACTGCCTTTTGCGATTGCTACTTCGTCTTCCTTTGGGTCTGCCATTGCCTTCTTCTTCCTTCTGGGTCTGCGACTGCTACTTCCTCTGGTCTATGATTGCCTCTTCGACTCGTCTGCAGCTACTTCTTCGACTAGTCTACAACTGCTTCTTCTCTCTTTTTATTCCTTCTGGGTCTGCCTTGCTGCGACTACTTCTTGTGCCTGCAACAAAGCCAAAAATAAAAAAATAAGTCTATAAGTACACCATTAAATGGATGTTAGAAGCATGGATTAGAAATCTCTTGGGTGTCAGAAGTTTAAATTAGTGAACTATGTTGGGAATTTTGTATTTTAATATTAATGAACTATATTGGTAACTTGAATAATTGGTGAAATATTAATGAAATACAATGTTTTTATGAGTCTATGATTTTTTTTAAAAGTATATATATATATTTTATTAATCATTATTTAAAATTGCATCGTATCTTACGATACACGATACGATAAGATACACTATTTTTTAAAAACGATATGCCTTCTGATACACGATTTGACAACTATGGCAATGATCAAAATATCGTTTCGCAATAGTCGAAACATCTAAAATGTTTTCATTTTTAAGGAGATTGAAACGAATCATCAAAGTCGAAATTCTAATACTTCAAGATGTTCTATAATATTTTGAAATATTTTGTTATTTTTCAATGCATTTGCACAATTATTTCTGAACATTTCAGGGTATTTCAAGATATTTTGACAAATGTTTTGAAAAAATAATTTTTAATTTTTTTATTTATTTTTATTCTGTTTTCGAAACGTTTCTGAAACATGTCGAAATGTTTATGTTTCTTAGGTGACCAAAACAATACACCGAAGCGAAATTTTGATCCTTGGATAAGAGTATCAGTACCTCCCTTGATTTCTTTGATTTTTTGCATTCTACATTCCTGAGCCCTTCTTTCTTCAGTTCCTTTCTTACTATTATCCCCGATCACATTGCAAAGTGATTAAAACCTATATTTACAATCCAATCAACTGCAATCATGCATTCCTCCATTAGTCTCTAATTTAAACTAACTCTTAATAATACATTACAAAAACAAACTAAAATGAATGCAATGAGGCCATTACGTATGCAATATTATGCATTTGTAGTAAGGGAGGAGGCATGTTGGGATTTGAACACATGACATTTAGGCTCTGATACCATGTTGAATGTCGTTTACTTAGAAAGCTAATAGAGAAAGGTGTAGCATTTATTTAGTAAAAAGGACTCTTGATAATTTAAAATTGGATTATTTCTTTCATTTGACGAAGAAAGCAATTGATTTTGAATTTCAATAGGCCAATATTAACCCTTTTCTTTTAAAAAAAAAAAAATTGCTTGATTGATGTTTTTTCGTTCTTGATGTGCTTCATCTTTCAGAAGTTGTAACACTTTTTTAACCATCAGCCACTCCAAATGAAAAAAAACACACACAAATGTTTGAGAATTAACCTAGAACTTGATAATTTCTATCTGCGTGATCCATACTTTGAGTTTTTCAAAGGAGAATACCCAGTTGAATGACTGTGTCAATACAATTAATGAAGATTTGTATATGGAGAATTTGTTTATGTAATCACTTGAAGTACCCACTACTTATATATCTTCCCATCTTTTTCAGAATGTTTACATTTTATCTACTTTGACACATAAGTTGCTTTTCCTTAATTATTGAATTTTGAGAGCTTCTTACGTTATTGTTGGCAATATCTTTGTGGTTGGGGGCAATGATGCAGCTAGAGATCTATGAACCGAGGCGCATCAATTACTGGTTCCCCCCCCCCCTTTCTCTCTTGTGGTTTGGGTTGGTCTCAGGCCATTGAGAATTTTTGGAGGGGCTCCGTGTGGGGTAAAGCCCTGGATAAAAAAGAAAGACGCTATTATTGGCACTTATTGTTTCAAATTTCTAACTTCCATATATTGCAATATCCTCCCAGTACAACTCTAAGATTGAGGTCAAATTTCTTTAGATCAGGATCTTGCAGAAACTTCTGTCGAAAATGTTGCCACTTCTTTTCCTTGAATAAAAAAAATTCTGAAATAAGAAGGTAAATGAAAGTGTGGATGGGTTGATGATTATGTTACTATGGCACATTCAAGTATATAACTGACATGGGGACAAAGTGCAATTTCACAAATTAGAATCTGGCTCAACTCAACACATGTATTTAATTCATAGTTGTTCTCTTGCTGCATTTGGTGCTTGAATTTTGACAAGTCTTTTCATCTCCTTCCAATGTAAATAAATGTATGCATGTTGAGCTTGATTTGTCTAATAATCTCTGGAGGGCATCCGAGAGGCTTTCTGGCCAACAAGTTCATAGCACTAGAACATCAGACCATATTTATGAAACTTGTTTTGGTTTAGATTTAGTGCTAGTTTCTGCTCTTGTAATTTTCCTCTTGCTGTGGTTATGTGCTCCACAATAATCATGCGTGATCTCAAGTAAACCAATTTTCCTTTCAGAGCTTACGTATTTGGAGAAGATGTGGGTTTTGGTGGGGTCTTCCGTTGCACAACAGGATTAGTGGATCGATTTGGTAAACGTAGGGTTTTCAACACCCCTCTTTGTGAACAGGTATTGCACATGCCACACTTTGTTTACCTAGATGGATGTTTTTTAAGAGCATCTCCAATGGAGACCCAAATTCTTACTCAAATTTGAGTAAAAAAAAAAGTGTAAAAAGCTTGATTTGGTATAGACCTTTCCAATGGATAAACCCTTTTTTAAAGGAAGAAAAACCCAAATTTAAATAAGGATAAACCCGCATTTAAAAGAGGATAAAATATGACCATTGAATTTTTAAAGGAGAGTGTAATCTCACCATTAAAGATTTGGGTTGAAAAAAGGGTTTCCCTTGATTTGGGTTTAAAAAAGAGTTTCCCTTCATTTGGTGTGTGTATAAGTCAAGCATTGGAGAAAGTTTTTAAGAGTTTTTTTTACCTTTTTTCAAAAAAGGGTTTAAAAAAGAGTAAGGATTGGAGATGGTCTAAGTGCTTCTAGCACAAAAGATTGTGAATGCACCATAATTTCTTAAAACTGAACAAACTGATTTACAATTGAATCACTTCCAGCTTGGGTGCATGTTGAAAAATATCTGATGAAATTTCCTTCACCTTTATTAACTATGAGATTGTATGCCATCTAGTTTTTCAATGCTACTAATTTTTTTTTTCTCTCTTGGAATCAGTATATCTTATCATAGGGGCATTTGATACTAACATGCTCTTACAAACAGGGCATTGTTGGATTTGGTATCGGTCTGGCAGCAATGGTGAGCTTCAAAAATTTTGGGACGATTGTGTGTTAAATTTAGGCCAGACCCTCCATTGTATTGTGTCGCTCTTATTTTCTTGTCGTACATCTCTCAACTAGCTATAACTTATATGACCATTCATATGATAGGGGAATCGAGCTATTGCAGAAATTCAATTTGCAGATTATATTTTTCCTGCTTTTGATCAGGCATGCATTCTTCCCGTGTTTATGTTTTACAGCTTTTGCAGAGTTAACTCTAGTTTGATAGAATTTTTGCTTTGTAGATAGTGAATGAAGCTGCTAAGTTCAGATATCGAAGTGGTAATCAATTCAATTGTGGAGGTAAAATTTAATTTACATTTTTGTGTACGTCAGACCCTCCCTAGACGCCCCATTGTGGGAGCCTCGTGCATTAGGTTCCTTTTTTTGTCCTCATTGTTTCTTTGTTTTGTTATGTTATGTTATATATGGACATTTTGGTGTGTTTTACCAGGTTTGACAATAAGAGCACCTTATGGAGCTGTGGGCCATGGTGGGCACTATCACTCACAATCTCCTGAAGCTTTTTTTTGTCATGTTCCTGGAATCAAGGTATATATTGTTCTTGGCATCTGGTTGGTGTTTTCTAGCTCATTTTGTTCATTTTCTCCTCAAGGATCACAACCTCAAAATATAAGTGGATTGTACAGGGATTCTAAGGAGACCTTTCCTCAACACATCTAAAGAATAATGCTCAACACCACCAGCAACAATTTATCAAAATATTTAGCGTTCAGTAATTAGTATTGTATCCAGTTATTGGCCACAAAGTAGGTGATTATCTGTAATATATGTACAACAAGCAATAATCTTGAACTGAGCCTTACTGGTGAGAAATTCGCTTGGGAGTATTGATCTTTTTAAATGAGAATGGCTCCAGTATGTTGATTTGGCTTCTCGTGATTCCAAGTTTTGTCAAAACCATCTTAGCAAGAGATGAACTCCATTTAGGCTACCATGCTGAACTATGGTCCATCACACAGTAACGAAGCTTTTGGACTTCACAAGTTTTTTAACTCTTCATGTTTTTTTTGTGGAGAGTTTGGACTCCTTATGTTAGAATATATAGAGGGGTATATCAGTCTTTTAGTGGGAATGGCTTGTATATATATATATATATATAAAGAGGTGAGGGAGGCAGTAGGGTAATGCCTCTGTGCTTTCTCTCCCTCATACGTTTCTGTCTTTCTCTCTCGCGCGCGCTCTCTCTCTTTTACATGGTATTAGAGCCACGTTCCTGATTGGCTCAAATTCTTCTTCTTCCTTACTTTTTTCCTTCATCTTGTGTGTTTGGTGCATCCTACAATTAGCCCTACTATGCATGATATGTGCACGATTGTTTGGTGGATCCATAGATCCAGTTTGAGGCATCGTTGATGACTTGATTTTTGGTATTTGAGTTTTTTGAGGGTGGTTTCCCTTATCTCTAGGGTTTGCTCGAGGCATGGGTTGGTTCTATCATAAAACTACTAGGGATTGCCTCTAGCTCGCTCGTCTTCGGTTAGAGTGGTCTTTGAAACAGTTGGGGAACCCTAGATCCCTAAGATCAAAGGCCAAACGATCTTTATCTGTCCTATTTAACTTCAAACATTGAGAAGGTCTTGCTTGGTGGGATACAAAACCCACTTTTGGTGTGTGTATTCCGAGAGTCTTTTGGTGGAATTGTTTCGTCGCCATCATGTTAGTCATAAACGATTTGCAGATTCTTCAATTGATTGGGACTTGGTGGATTGGGTTGTTAATTGGTGATTATAAGTGATGTTCAATATCCCTTCCGTGCGGTGATCCCTGAGTAGCTAATTGAATTGGAACCTCTGTTAGTTCAAGTTCCACGGCGTAGGCAGCTCACTCTTTTTAGGTAGTCATTCCTAAGTTAGTCATTCCTATTGAGGTATTCGGTTGGCAAAGGGATGATCCAGCTATCTATTGTTTTGATAGCACACATGGGAATAGACTTAAATGCTTCTCGAGAAGACGTTTATGGCGGACATCGGTTGTTGTGTACGGAAGATGCCAACCCCCTATTTGCCTGAGGCACATGTCGCTCCAGGATGGCAGGGGGACTAAGCGTGCTGCACCGCTCTCTTGTAATAGGACCTGAGTATATTGAGCTCGTTTTTTTGAACGAGCTTAAAAAATTGTTCAAGTTCGGTTTGTTTGAAAAATGAGTCTAGTCCGAGCCCGGACCGAACTCGTGTAGCTCGGCTCGATTAATACCCCTATTTTCATTTCTGATTCCTAGCAACTTTTTGGCCTTTTTTTTGCACTAGTTTAGTATTGATTCATTATTATTATTATTTCTGACTAATTTGGTCTCGATTCTACATCCTTTTCTTATTGTTTCTTGAGGATATGGAATCTATGGAAGATACCCCTTTCCAGAGTTATTGGACCCCCAGATTTTATTTCTATCTCATCCTTTAATGTTCCTATGACTTCTGTTAAATTAAATGGGAGTAATTATGTATTATGGGTCTAACCTATCAATGTTTTTCTAAATGGAAAAGGACTTCATAAGCATCTGGTGGATGTTAAACCTAAAGACAAGTGATTCTATTTTTGTGCAATGGGAACAAGAAGATACACATATTATTTCACTCCTATTAAATAGTATTGAGCCTCACATCAGTTCTTCTTTACTTCGTTTAGACATTGTCAAGGAAATTTGGGTTCGGTTGACAGACATGTATTCTGGTACTCATAATATCACATGCATTTATGAGGTGTGTAGGCTATATTTTAGTCTAGAACAACTGAACAAGGCACCTTGTCTCTTGAGGAGTACTTCTCCAAGGTTATGGGCATTTGTAAAGAACTTGAGATGTATCAACCCATATCTTCTAATGTTTCATATATGCAAGAACAACGTGATGATATTGTTGTTGTCCCTCGATGGTCTTCGAGCTCGCAGTCCAAAATTAGTCTTGATTGTTGAAAGCAGATGGGGCCAGAGGAGATGTGAGCCTTCAAAGAAGCTAAGATGGAAGGTAAGTAAACATCACGTAAAGGAAGAACAACCGAGGATGTAGCAGTGACTTGAGTTAGGGCCCCAACCTGGATAGTCTCTGCAGCCTCAAAGCATGTTGGTCTGTCAGGGAGACGGGAGGGGTTAGACCCTCTTCATTCTCAAGGTTCACTACTTCAGCATTATCGGCTACATCAGTGGCCACATAATCGAAAGAGGGTGCCGGAGGAACTAAACCAGCTATGGCCATAGAACAGGCCATAAAATTGGGAATGGTGGTTGGACCGAGGGGCTTAAGGGTTTAAAGATGGAATCTTGAGAGGGCCCTACACTGACCGAGAGGGTTGCACAAGGAGGAGTGCCGTCACGTTGACGAACATGGCACACCAGGGGAGCATCATCTTCAACATCGTATCCGTCTTCAACTTGAGTATGAGAAACAGATGTGGAAGGAGTTGTAGAAGAATGCCATAACTTGTCCTTGCGGTGAGGCCGTGTTGGAGAAGTGGGAATAATTGAGGAAGCTAGTGTGACACCCCAAATTCTCGGGGGTCCTAATTACCTGTTAAGTCTCGTTAGTTAACCCAAGGCACTGATCTCGACGAATCGATCCTAACGAAAATCTGGCGGAGTCTCTTTTATACGGGAAACTCCACCAACACACAACCTGTGTCCATAATGTCACTACAACCATTCCAAGGTCCAACATCAATATCTAAGCAATTCATACATTGAATATCCATTCTCGTACAACATATATTCTATCCCAAAAGAATATATGTATATAAAGTTCCAATTATATGCCTTTTGTTCAAAAAGAATATACGAGTTTTGTTTTACAAAATACACAAGGCTAAGTAAATACAATGGGACTAAATAACTTAACAGTGAAGCCATGTCCAGCTTTAATCCTCAAAGTGAGCCCTAGTGAGGGCCGTCAGCGGAAGTATGCCCAATACTTGAAAAATGTTCCCACAAAGGAGTGAACCGAAGCCTATTAGGGTATCTCTTAATAGAGAAAACCTTCCAATCCCTATGCATATGATATGAGTGTTCACCAAACACACCAAACATACACCTTAAGTAACATGTGAATGCTACAATGCATGCCCAACATAAATAATGCTTCATGAATGCATGTCTAACACTGAATCCCCTTCTAGGTTCCCATGCACAACACATGATACAATGCCATGACATGAACCGAGCAGTCCAAGCCCCATCATTGATACTGGACATCTAATGACCATTTATCAATTCTTGTGTCTTTATTGGGTAGGTATTTTATAGACATCACACCAACGAGCTACCAAATCGACATGGCATTCCACATTTGATTCCGAGTACACCGACCCATTTTTCTAGAATCTCATCGCCGAACAAGTGTGTGAACCAAGTAATCGGGCCTTGCATTCGAGGGAGAATCTATCTCTTCTTGCTATTAGGGGTGTTCACCCTACCCTACGGGTATGAAATATGCTCTTCCATCTTCCTTCCCGATACTTTGCGGAAGAGTTTTTTCTTGGCCTACCCTACCCGACAGGTGTGGTATTCCTACCCGACTTCTTACCCGATTAATCGGGAAGGAAGTCGGGTAAACATATTTGTAACAATTAATTTTTGGATCATTTTAATAATTTAATTAAATAACATGCACCAATTTAACAACACAATAAATCAATTAACACTAAAATTTAAAACAACTACAACAAGAATTATAATAAAATACAAGAAAGTATGAACATCAATCCACCATAATTGGTACACAAATACAATAACAATTAATTTAAGTTTAAACTTTAAACCATATGAAATCTATTAAAATCATAATTGCTCCGCCTGTGGTTAGGATTTAAGGTTTTTTTAGTTTATATATATATATATACATATATTAAAAAATTATTGCGGGTAGGATAGGGTAGGAATGCAGAAATGGATGGCTATTCCGCATTCCTACCTGATTTTTGCGCTAGCGGTTCAATAGGGTAGGGTAGGGTCGGGTAGGGTAGGAACTTGCGGCCGGTCGAAAATTTAAACACCCCTACTTGATATATGCGACACTTTTTTTATGCAATATTTTGTACGACTCAATTATACATCTGTCCAATTTTTCTGAGCCCATCAAGCAACTCACCATGTGGTGATTGACCCAACCAATGCACACACACACACTCACACTCACACTCATGGCAACGTTCATGAATATAGTTTAACACGTGCATATGTAATGTAATGTACAATTGTAATTGTATTTCATCACAATGCTAACTATATCATGCAAGTGTGTGACATCACATCATATGTTAATTATATCATAAGGCATATAATAACATTCCATAACCATCACTAAGTATGTTATAATTAATACCAATTCAAATAACACACTTGAACATATTTTGATATTTTATCAAACACTTTCAAGGCATAAAATGTAAACATATAGTATGCCTAATCATCTCACACATAACCAACATGTTCAACACCCAAAATCAAATAGAATTAGACATAACATACTCATCAACTAGCTCAAATATTCCATTAGTCACACTAGTCACATGGAAGCTATGTAAATAGTATACATAACCCCACTTATACCATATACATACATGAAATTGAGAGGAATCCTACATAGAAGAACCCTCATCTCTTGTAGCGTGAGCCCTCGTAGTAGAACTCCCTAGAAAACCCGAATCTAGCTTTCCCTAGCCTTGACTCAATCCTAAGCCAAAACTTCAATTTGCAAAAGATATTTTAATTTGACGAGGTTGGTATCCACGTGTAGCCCTCGTTGTTGTAACTTTAATACTCGATTTGAGTTGTGAATCGTCGCCCGAATTTTGCTAGATCGAAGAGAGAAGGTGGGAAGAACTTTTCTTTTCTTTTGTTTCTGTTCTCTCTCTCTTTCTCTTTCTCGCGGCTGAAACTNTCAAAAGATATTTTAATTTGACGAGGTTGGTATCCACGTGTAGCCCTTGTTGTTGTAACTTTAATACTCAATTTGAGTTGTGAATCGTCGCCCGAATTTTGCTAGATCGAAGAGAGAAGGTGGGAAGAGTTTTTCTTTTCTTTTGTTTCTGTTCTCTCTCTCTTTCTCTTTCTCGCGGCTGAAACTTGGAGGAATGGGTGAAAACCCCAAAATCCTCCTTTTTATACTCCCTTAAATGCTTGGTCCTCATTGCGTCACACGTTCCATTTTAACTAGTCCAATTTTATTGCGAATCAATTAAATCTTGTCTTGCATTAAGTTTAATAAATTTTTATTTAACTAACTTTAAATTATTTTTTGGGTCCCGTGAATAAAAACTGATCGTGATGATTTTAGTCACACGATATCGGATCGCATCATATAACACGAAATATTTAACTATCTCAGAATTCGGTGAAAATTGACTGGATAACTAGATTTTGCGAGACAAATCCAACGGTGAGATCTGTTTTATNTTGTCTTGCATTAAGTTTAATAAATTTTTATTTAACTAACTTTAAATTATTTTTTGGGTCCCGTGAATAAAATCTGATCGTGATGATTTTAGTCACACGATATCGGATCGCATCATATAACACGAAATATTTAACTATCTCAGAATTCGGTGAAAATTGACTGGATAACTAGATTTTGCGAGACAAATCCAACGGTGAGATCTGTTTTATCATTCGAATTCTAAAAAAATTTAGATTTTCAACTCATATTTGATCGGCTAATTACTGTTTTGCCATTTTTAATTAAAATTTTAATTTTCTCGGGTTTCACAGCTAGATCCATAGAAGTTGTGAGATCAGGGTTGACTTGTCGAAGAGGAATAATAGCAAATGGGGAAGTCCTGACCTAGCAGACCTTAGTAGATGATTGAATTTTTAATGGAAAGTTCATGTGGTTAAGAACAATGGTTGTGTCACGATCAAAATGTCGAGAAATGTATCGTTTCTACCAAGCCTTGACAATCTTTGAAATATTGAATGACTTAGTAAAAGAGGCCATTCGAAAATAGTGACGCGTAAGAGAATGTCGGTAGTCGACTTTTCGAACATTCACATCGGCCAAGTTATGTAATTAATATTGAAGGTGCAGGCAAAAAGATAAGGAATTTGTTGCNGCGTAAGAGAATGTCGGTAGCCGACTTTTCGAACATTCACATCAGCCAAGTTATGTAATTAATATTGAAGGTGCAGGCAAAAAGATAAGGAATTTGTTGCACTAGGCCAAATTGACGAGTAAATTGTTAAGGCATGTAAACCTCGACACTGCAGTGGGCATTGGCACCATGAGATGGCCTTAGGTAGTNACTGTTAATTCATGTAAACCTCGACACTGCAGTGGGCATTGGCACCATGAGATGGCCTTAGGTAGTAATACAGGTCCCGTGGGTGAAGATAGGAGAACTAGACATCCTCATGAGAAGTAGCGGCGTCAGCAGAGGCTTCCCCTAGGATTGTATAGGAACCATTTTGGACTTCGGTTCTTGACAAACGACATCCAAACGGGACATGAGCTGTTCAAGTTATACAAATAAGAAAAACAATCAGCAAAGAAATATTCTCTAGAAGGGGCTGTGGCAAATAAACAACCGTAAGAAAAAAAGGCATTATCAATCGGCGGGATAAAGAGCTCTGGGAAATAAGCACAAACCCTTCTACATCTTTGACGCCATTGTCTCCCACACCTGCGATAGAGGTGGGCAAGCATGCCAAGGGCAAGAGCATATGAAGCAACTGTATCCCGTTAGGGGGCCATCAAAATGTACTCCTTGGTCACCATATAGGATGGAGTATAGAAAAAGAACTGGTTAAGCCAGTAAAGGGAGAACGAAATATGTTCTTGAGCTGACACTTAAGAGCCATCACGGTCACGGTAGACTGCGAGGAAAAGAGAATAGGTAATGATTGACTTGTTATACACGTCAAGTGAAAATGTGTAGCTCGCTTACAATGTGTAGGCTGAACATTAGCCTCAGCCCCGAATGGAGGAAGGCTGAGAAGAGCAAACGTATCATAGACCGTGAGGCCCATCATGTCATCATGGAAGTGAAATGCATTATTTGCCACAGACCAAAAGAAAATAGAGGCGCTGAGAAGCAGCATGTCGATGGATAGGAGTGGGGCTTTTCATGCACAAACAGGGTTATTACTACGTTAGTTTGTCCATTGGAGTGGTTCATGGAAGTTGAAAGACAACGACTTATGAGAATCAGTGTAAATGCACCAAACCTCGTTTGGAGGCATCTCTTTGAAAGCTAGTCCAAGGGCCATCTTAGGTGAAGTAGAATCAGAGAGGGTTGAAAGGATGAAGAGTGTATTGAGTAGCTTGTACTCGTGAAAGAGCCACTTTGAGAGCAACAACACGAGGGGTCTTCATTGAAGAAGAGAAGGTCAGAATAATAATAAAGCAATAGGCTTGCAAACGGATTATATAGGCGTAGAGAACGACCCGGAAAAATGATTAAAAGATTTGGACGGATCGCGTGACAGTCGTTTTTTGTAGATTTAAGAAGAAGAAGGATAAATTGAAGAACTACATGTGGAACTTTAGCCGCAATCCTCAAGCTTTACAATTAATGGCGGTATGACAGTTAAGTAGGGCAAGTGTAGTGATAAAAGTTTTAATTCAAAGAACCACAATGATGCCCCGTATATGCAGTATTCAGTCACATCGTTTTGGGGGGCAATGTTTGTACACAAAAATAGTAAGATTAGAGGTTGACATGTGGAGTTCATGAGAATCCACGGATGACAGAGTGGTTAAAAACATAGGACTCTTAAAATCCTGAAAAACGAGGAAATGTGAGCATTATGAACCGCCAGTTGGAGACGATTTAGCGCACATCTACGCATCTCGAGGGACAAGGCCATGGTCACAATAATGGCTAGAAAAGATGGGTTGACGGTACAAGGCCATCTTTATACATAGTAGAGGTTAGACCATTGAAAAATGATCCACGATCAAACACACACTTTTTACAGAGACAACCTACCTTAAACTTATTTCTTGCTTCCGAGCAATTTTATTTTTTTTGTAGTCATCACTCCGATGATCTTTTATTGCTTTCATTTAATGCTAAGTTTAGTATTTGTTTTGTCTTTCAGATTTGGATTTGGTTTACTTACCGCTTTGCATTCTAACTATTCTCTTTACGGTGTAGTCCATTACACTTTTATTTGTGAAATTATTTAAAGTCCTTGAACTATAAGGTATAAAAAAGAATTTAGAGGTAGTCTTACGCCTCGTTACAATCGCCTGAACTGTCACGATTGAGAACCTCACGCTAGTTCGCATAGGTAAGATAGTACGTGTTTGGATTTTAAGTCCAATCGGACTTTGGCATGCACACAATTCGAAAAATACTTCAAACACAAACCTTAAGAGATTACTAGAACCTTAGATCCCTAAAAACCTAAGGTATCCATTTTGAATCTTCATTCAACATTACACATTCAACAAGAGGTTCTTATTTGGAATCACAAAACCAATTGAACGAGTGTGCATTCCGAGGATCTTGGTGGAGAAGGTTGCTTGCACAACCTAAACGATCTATTGTGATAGAAGCGTTCAAGTGGAGCTGCCCATAACTCTGGTAGGAGAATTCGGAGGAGAAGTTTATTGAAGGAAATAAGCGTCTAACCATGGTATTACTTGACATATAAGTCTAACTACATTTTTCCACACACCATTTGTCAAAGCTAAGGATCAACTGTTGATATGTTTACTAAGTCATTGAATTGTTCTCGGTTATGTGATATTTGTTCTAAGCTGGGATTATATGATACATACTCGCCGGCTTGAGAAGGAGTGCTAGAATATATAAGGGCTATATTTGTAATAACTTAGCCCAAGAGGGGTATATTAGCCTTTTAGTGGTATATATATATATATATATATACCTATAAAGGTGAGGTAGGCAGTGGAATAATGACTATGTGCTTTCTCTCCCTCCTACGTTTCTCTCTCTCTCTCACCTTACATCTTCTCAAAATTTTAAAATGCTCAAGTGCCGAGGGAACTGGACATCTGGCACCAATTAGAAGAAAATGCATGAATCATTCTCTTAAGATAATTTATTTTTTCTAGGTGGTCATTCCTCGAAGTCCAAGGCAAGCGAAAGGGTTGTTGTTGTCATGCATTCGCGATCCAAATCCTGTTGTCTTTTTTGAACCTAAGGTATAACTTCACTTATCTCTGGGAGTTTTTAGCACCGATGTTATCAAATAAAAGCTGAAATTTTATAATTGTCTCATATCTTTAATTTTCAGTGGCTTTACCGTTTGGCTGTAGAAGAGGTTCCAGAGCATGATTACATGTTACCTCTATCAGAGGCAGAGGTATGCCCATTTAGTTCTATTATCAATGGAGGATTCTAAATCTGAAGAGATTGCGTGCTTTAAACTCAGGTGATTCGAGAAGGTAGTGACATAACACTGGTCGGATGGGGAGCTCAGCTATCTATCATGGAACAGGCTTCTTTTGAGGCTGAAAAGGTAGATAGTTTGACATAATTCTCTAACTACCGTGTTTGTAGTCTGATTTGGTAGGACAGTATACATATCACAATTTGTTAACACACAACTAGAAGTTCGGGGATTAATCGTCCAACTGCAAGGCACAGAGTTCTTAGATTAAACTCTCTAGTGTTCTGCCCAAAACTTAATGATAATGGGTAGAGAAGCCCGTCAACCATATAAACTAACCTTGGGTGACCCTAATCTTTCTATGTGGTCTACAAGCTCTCTTTAGATCCTCCCTTACATGGGATCCAAGCTTGAACACTGGCTAACAAACAAAAAGGCAAATATACATACCTGAAAATTCAAATAGATGGGACTTGAAATGCTAGTTCTGCTACCATGTTGAGGTATCCAAACCAAAACCAATTGGCAACCGGTGGAGAAGCTCCTCAACCTCATCAGCCAACCTTGGGTGGGCTGATCCTTGGATGTACGAAATTTTTCGTTGCAGTGGGATATACGCTCTCTTTACCCACACACGTTCTTCTACATTCCCCTGGTTTTTCACTTCTCAGTCCATTATTGAATTTTTCTGAAATTTGTGCCCAGTTTTATTTTCAAGATTCCCATGTTCAAATTATTCCATGCATTCAATAGAACACAGACACAATTTTCGTCAGGTTGTTGAGGTTCATTTCGCAATTAAACTACAGTATATTAGGGGTAAGCTGTATGGTACACTGTCTGTATGGTTTCTGACCTGAAATCATTTTCTTTTAAAATATTTGATGGTTAATTGGCATGGAAGAATTTTGCAGGATGGTATCTCCTGTGAACTTATAGACCTTAGAACTCTAATACCTTGGGACAAGGAAATAGTAGAGGCTTCTGTTAAAAAGACTGGAAGGCTTCTGGTAAGTACGTTACTCCATTCAAAATATGATTAATGAAACAGATGGTTGCTATATTTGGTGATCCATATGATTCCTTATTTGTAGATTACTCATGAAGCTCCAGTAACTGCTGGATTTGGTGCTGAAATTTCTGCTTCTATTGTTGAACGTTGCTTCCTCAGGGTAAACCACAATTTTTGGCACATTTCCTCTTTCTTATTCTATTTATGCTTGTTTACTGCTCAGTAATTATATAGAGAATATGAAGCTTGACTTTTACATTGGTGCTCATTGTTATTATTTTGCAACAAGTGCCTGATTGTAGATTGAGTATCCGTGCAATGGACCACAATGTGACATTACTAGAAACATATTTCATCTCTCCACCATGCATGCGCAAACCACTAGAAACAGTAACCGCTAATAATTTATATAACTGAAAAGCATTAATGCACGCAACCACACAAGTGAACTGATATGCATGATTCAAAGTCGCGGTATCGGCCATCGACTCGGAGAGCTTTGAGACACATCGGTTGAGGCATCGAGATGCGGTATCGGGTAATACAACCTAAAAGAAAATATTGAACATGACGAGAGATTCAAGTCATACCACGGCGTCGCAGAATCGAATTGGTCGATTCAGTGACAATAACTCTGCAACTAGTGTTTGACTTGGATACAACTCAGCCAACTCGGCTGAGTCGTGCAAGATTCGGGATTTATATGTATCATGTAACGGTATTGTCTTGGAAGGTGCCGAGTTGGATACGACTTAATCCACTCGTATTGGTATCGGCTGATGATTTGAACCATGCTGGCATGAGCCAAGGGAATAAGCTGTAAGAAAGTAAAAAACATAAACACAACACCGGGGTGGCCTGAGACATTTTGAGGACTAAAGTGGAAACGATAAATAAGGTCATTTTATTTCTAATATTAATAATAAATTTAATTTTTAATTTTTTAAATACAAAAATATTAATTTTATATTTAAGTTTTTGTTACCATATTTGAACTTGATGGTAAGAGAGAGAAAAAATGATTGAAAAATTATGATGGAAGTTTAAATTTTATTTTTTTAGGGTTTAAAACTAGATTTTTTAGTAACTTTAGTTTTATCGTTAATTTTTTTTCTTTATTCAATAAAATAAAATTTAGGGCCTTTTAGTGTTGTGAAAAGCGAACCTAGGCGAGAAGCGAAGCGAAGCGAGCCTTGGTCGCCTTGAACATTCAAGGCGAAGCGAGGTTAAGTAAATCGAGAAAAAAGCGAGCTTAGGTGACAAAGCGAAGAAGCGAGCCAGACAAGAAAAGCAAACGCCTGACTCCAGTTTTTTTATTTTCTCCTCCTCCCCCCCATCCTCTTTCTCCTTGTTCTTCTTCTTTAATATTAACTCTAGCAGAGATAATGTTATATGTGTATATATATAAAATAAATTGATTGATTCGTGTAATAGTATCATATGCCAAGATAATGTTGAATTCTTTGTTTTGATGTGAATGCTCTTGTTAATCAATTTGTGAGTGCTTTGTTTAGTAGTGATATTAATCAATCATAGTAGAAGTCGAACCCACATTTGCTAATTTTACATTTAGATGACGTGATTATATCAATTGATCATTTTTAGAATACAATAATGTTCAATATTTAATATCTTGTCTATTTAAAATATGTTGATCTTTATTATTTTGATTGCATTTAAATATTTATATTTGTAAAGTTAACTTGAATATATTGGAGTAATCAAAGTATGAAACTAAAATAGTTGCTTATTTTTTATATTGTTCGCTTTGCTTCAATGAAGCGTTCCCTTCGCTTCTCGCCTAGGCCCTCAGGAGACCAATTTGCTTCGATTCGCTTTACGCCTTAATTAACACTGGGGCCTTTTAATTTCACAGTTGAATTAATATGCCCAATCTACTCAAGTTGAAATCTTTTGTTTGAGGCATGGATTTAAATTTTTTGTTTGAATTATTTTTGTGCACCTATAAATTATGGGGCCTTCCTTAAAGTGAGGCCTTAAATTTTTTTTGGATTGGACTTGTATTTTTATAAGGCCTTTTTTGTAGGGCTTAAATATTTATGAATTTAATTTTTTTACATGGATTATTTATGAAATTTAAAAATTTGAGCCTTCTTTGAAAATGGGCCTAAAGCTCAAGCTTTTTTGATAACATTGCTGAGCCGCGGACACAACAAACTTCTTTTCCTAGATCAGTTACATGAGTCTGTTACTTCAATCAATCCAGGTCTTGATCTAATGTGTTGCCAGAAGGGAATAGTGTAGCATTAGTATTCTAGAAATGCAACTTTGTAAACTTAATAATGTGCTAACGAGGGGTACCAACTAATATTCTAGGATAGGTTCGCACATTTTGTATACATTTTAGTAAGCCAGATAACTCCTTTAGGAATTAGGATGGCCCCATGGGGCATGATTGCCACTCTACTACAGTTTCTTGATTTAAGACTTGATTAGTCACTAAGCAGAATAGGGATTGAGTTACTTTAAGAAGATATATCATTTGGTGCAACTGGTTATTGTGAGTTGTCTTCAACTAATTTTCCTTCGTAGGACTTGGCGAATCTATTTTTTGACAAATAAAGAAAATCATTGTAAGGTATGAGAGAATGCAACCAATGTACCTAGTAAACATATGGCTATGACAAGGGACATGAATTAATAAATATATATTAATATTTTTATTTTCAATTATACATCTGTGAATCAACAACATTTAATCTTAACAAAACATAGTATGCATATTTTTGCGGTACGATGCTCAAATTGGTCTCTAACTTTCAAGTCCAGATGGGTAGAATTTTCAAAATTACTTTTTCCTTGCACCCACTCCCATATTTTGTCTGAGAAAAATATTAATGTTGCTTCAACTATTTACTTCACTAGCATATCTCTATATTCTATTTGAATGTATCTACAATTCCCCCTGAACCTCCAATCTCTCCAATCTCACATCCCTCTTTAATTAGGTGGCATGCAAATATGGGTCATTTTTTCAAAGACTTCTCTTTACTCTCCTAATCTATCTCGACTTCTTACTCCTCTTAAAACTTCCCACTATCTCAACATCTCTCTGTCACCCTAACCTTCTCACTACTTCATTTAAATTTTAAAAGGCCGAACATTGAGCCATCTCTCCTTATCAAACTCAACTTCTCACTCTATCATTAGGTGTTCAGATAGTTGGAAGTTCATTAGCCATGTTTGTAAACTTCCACACTTTATGACTATGGAACTCTTTTTAGCTTCTTCACGCATCAAAATTCAAAAGATGAGAACTTCGCATTCACTTTGTTCTCTCCAATCATTCCTCCTCTGTTTTTTCACTATTGTATTTAACATAACTTCTAGCCCCACTCTTACTTTTGAGCAAAATTTTGTATGTTTGATTCATTACATGAAAGAGCTATAACAATGTTGGATTTAAAAGAGTTCAAGGAATGCTTCAATGGTGTTGCTGTGGTTGTTCATGACTGGTGGGTTGGACTTTGGAGGTGGTTGTTTCTTCCATGACTCTTGGTGGAGAAATAGAGAAGAACAATTGCAGAGGCTATAGGAGGGAAACTTTGTTTTCAAGATGTTCTTCTATTTTCTTGGCGTTAGGCTAGATCACCTATTACTTGGTTTGTAAGGAAATTCATTGTTTTTGTGGCAGTAAATGTACAATGCATTTAGTACCAACAAAAACACTCCTGCACAAACCCTTACATCTCTTAATTATTTTGTTGGGCTCAGAATGCATAGCAATGGCTTACACATAACATGTAGTAATTCAATACCGAAATCACGCAAAATAAAGTCAGTGAATTTATCTAATAGCTAGTACCACAAAATATGTATAACCCCTTTCAACCCTTTGAGCGAAATGTGACAAAATGAACGAAAATCCATTTACTTTAGTTTCATTGATTTTTGTATGTTGCTATTTTAGTTTCAGTGATTTTGATGTAAAAGTGTGAGATATAAAATAACGGATCTGGATAGTTAATTTTGATTTAGTCTTTATTAATGTTATACTTTTAAATCGAGGTAAGATGTAAAATAATAATTTTGTGAGTATGGGTAATAAATTTATGATAGAGTACTTGATTCGTTATTCATTTTTGCAAAATATAATGTAATTTTGTTTATATATGTTTATGATATACGGATATTTTACTTTTAATTGTTTTGTTGTATGATTTAGTTTTTTTTAATCTTTATTTATTACTTTGATTGGTCTTGCCAAATGTGGATGTATTTGATAATTACATATTTCACTTTTATGAAGGTTTTAATTATTACATTATGTTACAGGTAATTATTTGTCGTGCATTCCACGGTTACCACTAGTTTGAATAAATGACAATGATATATTTAGCGTCAAAGTACCCCACCAATTCTATCAGGTCCCTAATATATCCAAAATTTAATGATTTTTTATAGCATCCAAGGCATATTCGATGGTATCTGATATGTATCCAACATATCCGTTCATATCCTTATCGATAGTGAATATATGGATACTCTAGCTTTGATGTAGTATTAGTGCCTCATAGCCATATATCCTTGATGCATACATTGAGAGAAAGGAATGAAAGAAGAAAAACTAAATACAAAGATGGGCGCAATCCCAAAGCACTACATACTATCAACCTTCAACGCCCCCCAAACAACAAAACAATCCAAATGAGAGAAAAATTCCCCTAGTAGCAAAAAATGGATAGATCTCAAAAAGGTAGGTTCAAAACCAACTATTCTAGACCTTTGTAGAGGTTACCTATTAGGTTGAAACCACGAACACCACCATAGACTAAGGGGGGCCACGCAACATGTAAAAAAAGCAACTTTAGGAGGCAATTTGGCTTTCAAAGGAAAGTGAGATTAGAAGCTCCACCTAATGGGGCTAGTACCTCAAGTTATGAAGCACATATACTCACCAAGGATGGTATATCTGGATACGATATGTGCATGTACTGGGTACAAATCTACCTTGAACATGACCAGATTCGTATCAAATATGTTATGATGCGCCTTGGATATTTTGAAAGTATTTTTTTTCTTTTGGATACTTTTGGGATACACCTAGGATACACAATTGATATCCAAGGCGCACCATATTCATGAAGCCTTGGATATTGATTCGTTTAGGATATGTGAAGATACCTTGAGGATACCCGACATATACATTTGGGATTCGTTAGGTCTAAATATATGTTCTCTTGTTTATAAAAATGGTCCATTGAAGTAAATAATCATCTAAAAAATGTTGGGATAAGACTTTGTTTAGTTGAGTATTATCATTGAATTAAATAATCGAGATATACAAAACAAAATATGACCTTAAAAAAATGAATCTATGTATTATGTTACTCATTGAACAAATCCCTCTTTTAATATGACAGTCTTTGAATCTAAGATT